ATCACAATGTAAAGAAAATTACAGAACATAATATAATGTACATGATCCCACAACAGCAACAAGGGTGGTCTTTAATCTGATTTATGCATTTACATATTGATACTTGATTTCAATTGAGCTCTTGTTTACATATGTTATTGCCTTACATATTCAGTACATTCTTCGTACTGACGTGTTCTCGGGGGACGCTGCATTTCATGCTGCAGCCACAGGTACTCCAGCTAGTAGACCTCCCCAGTAGGAGCACAGGACACTCAGCTGCTATTGGTGAGCTCCAAGTTGATTCGGGGCTTAATCGAGTCTTTGGCATTTACTTTGTTACCGTATAGTAGTTAAGGGTAAGGCGGGACCTTGTCCCGACCTAACCTAAGGTTGTCCATCTTGTAGAGGCTTTGTAGACTAATGTATAAAGTTTTGTTGTGTCTTGTCTCTTAACAATTGTGTCTCCACGGCCAAGTGTTGTACATAAGTTTTGGGGCTGTCTATGTCGGTCTTTTATCAATACAGGGCATATAAGCTTGTCATAGCTTCATAGTTATCATAGTTAAATGTATGGTAAGTGCAGGTTGTAAGTTGGCTCTCCTGGGCCATTTAGACATCGGGTGCCTGTCCGTCTTAATCAGATCTGAGGCGTGACAAAAGTGGTATCAGAGCAGGTCATCTTAGGAAGTCTACAAAGTCGTGTCTATGTAGAGTCTTGCTTATGGATGTGTTGTGCACCACATCTATAAACAGGAGGCTACGGGACATGTAGGAGTTGTTTCATCTTCTAGATCGTGCGATAGAGCCATATTGTAGGTGGATTATATCTAACTTCTAAATTGTTTTATTATAGCAAAGATGTCGGTTATGAGAAGGAGTAAAAATACAGTCAAGCAAATAGATGTGGCTGCCGGAGAAGGGGGTAACCAATCATTACCTAGACAAGCTGATCAAAGTGAGGCTCAAAATGAGTCTCTATCACAGACTTCCCTGACTCCTCCATCTCCAGATGATTTAAGGAAGGAAGCAGCACCTTGAGAACCCCCTATTAATACTACTGAGCAAGATTTAAAGAATGAAGTCCAATTATTAACTCGTATAGTTGCTGGCCAAGGGCAAAGGCAAGAAGGTCCAATTGTAGGTACGAGTGGTGCAGATAGGGCTGCTAGTACGCGGATACGTGATTTTCTTAATTTGGACCCTCCATCATTCACCGGGTCAGATCCTAAAGAAGATCCGCAAGACTTTATTAATCAGATTCAACGAACTTTGGATGTTATGCATGTAAGTGGTAAAGAAGCAGTTGAGCTAGCAACATATAGACTCAGGGGTATGGATATATTGTGGTATGAAGCTTGGAAGCAATCAAGGGTTACAAATGCACCTTTAGCTAGTTGGAAAGAGTTCAAAAAGGCATTTCTTGACCATTATCTGCCATTGGAGATCCAAGAGGCCCGTGCTGATCAGTTTTTAAATCTCTACCAAGGGAATATGAGAGTGAGGGAGTACAGTCTTAAGTTTAATTCTTTATCCAGGTGTGCTCCTAATGTAGTGTCTACTATGGAGGATAGAGTTCATCGATATGTGGACGTATTAGATTCATATTTGGTTAGAGATTGTACCATTGCTTCTTTGAATAAAGACATGGATATAGCGAGGATGCAAGCTTTGGCACAAAAGTTGGAGGATCAAAGGCAAAGAAGAAGGGCACAAGAGTCGGAAAGAGGGCAGTCCAAGAGGGCCAAATCTACGGGGCAGTTTACCCAATCTCAAGGTGAGTTTAAGCCTCAATTTTCTAATAGACCGCCTAGGCCATCATTTTCCTACTCTAAAGCTAGTGCTCCACCGTGAGGGTATAGGGGCGATCAGTTTGGGCAAAGAGGTGAAAGCCAAAGCTCAAGAACAGCGGGGCACCACGAGAAGGGAATTATGAGCCAATCAAGACCTCCTCGACAACTTTGTATACAATGCGGGAGAAATCACCTAGGCACATGTAGGTTTGGGACATATGCTTGTTTTTGGTGTGGTACACCGGGACACATGATGAGAAATTGCCCTCAAAGGGGCATGGGTGGTATGGCACAACCTGCTGGATCGATTGCTGCATCGTCTTCATCAGTTCCTTCTTTAGGCAGGGGTGCACAAATGCCTGCAGGTCGTGGTAGAAGTGTTAGAGGGGCAGCTAGTTTTAGTGGAGTTCAGAATCGCACGTATGCCCTAGGGAATCGACAAAATTTGGAGGCTTCACCGGATGTGGTTACAGGTACATTATCCATCTTTTCACATATTGTATATGCATTAATTGATCCGGGGTCTACACTATCATATGTCACTCCATTGATTGCTGCAAAGTTCAAAAGAACACCAGAATTATTGGTTAAACCATTTGAAGTGTCTACACCGATTGGTGAATCTATTATAGTTAGAAGAGTCTATCGAAAGTGCATAGTAACTGTTTGTGGTCGTAATACATTAGCTGACCTTGTTGAACTAGAAATGGTTGATTTTGATGTCATAATGGGTATGGATTGGTTAGCTTCTTGTTATGCTACAGTAGAATGCCGAACTAAGATGGTGCATTTCCATTTTCCAAAAGAGGCAGTCCTTGAATGGAAAGGTAATATTGGGGCACCAAGAGGTAAGATTATTTCTTATTTTAAGGCGAAGAAGATGATGTCCAAAGGCTACATATGCCATTTAGTAAGAGTAAGAAATATAGATGCAGATCCACCAACTCTTCAATCTGTTCCGCTGGTAAATGAATTTCCTGAAGATCTTCTAGGTTTGCCTCCAGAATGAGAAGTAGAGTTTGGTATTGATATAATTCCAGATACTCAACCTATCTCCATTCCTCCATATAGAATGGCCCCGACAGAATTACGGGAGTTGAAGGAACAATTAAATGATTTGTTAGAAAAAGGATTCATAAGGCCTAGTATGTCCCCTTGGGGAGCACCAGTTTTATTTGTACGCAAGAAAAATGGCTCATTGAGAATGTGTATTTATTACTGACAGTTGAATAAGGTAACGATTAAGAACAAATATCCCTTCCCAAGAATTGATGATTTGTTTGATCAGTTACAGGGTGCTAAGTGCTTTTCAAAAACTGATTTGAGGTCGGGTTATCACCAAGTGAGGGTCAGAGATCAAGTTATACCCAAGACGGCTTTTCGAACAAGGTATGGTCATTTCGACTTTTTAGTTATGTCATTTGGGCTAACAAATGCACCAACAACTTTTATGAATTTGATGAATAGAGTGTTCAAGCCATTTTTGGATGTGTTCGTGATAATATTTATAGATGACATTATGGTGTATTCAAGATCTGAAGAGGACCATGCTAATCACTTGCGGCAGGTGTTACAGATTCTTCGTGATCGAAAGTTGTACGCAAAGTTCTCTAAATGTGAGTTTTGGTTAAGATCTGTGGCATTCTTGGGTCATATTGTATCTGATGAAGGGGTAAGGGTTGATACCCAAAAGATAGAAGCTGTGAAAAACTGGCCAAGACCTACAACACCTACGGAGGTTCGTAGTTTCCTTGGGCTGGCAGGTTATTATAGAAGGTTTGTTGAAGGATTTGCTTCTATTTTCGCACCATTAACAAAACTAACACAAAAAGAAGTCAAGTTCCAGTGGAGCGATACATGTGAAAGAAGCTTCCAAGAACTGAAGAATAAATTGACTTCTACACCTGTATTGGTACTTCTAGAAGGCACGGAAGGGTGCGTAGTGTATTGTGATGCATCGGGAGTGGGCTTTTTATGTGTGTTGATGCAACATGGTAAGGTGATAGCTTATGCCTCAAGGCAGTTGCGGTCACATGAGAAAAACTATCCAACCCATGATCTAGAGCTAGCAGCAATTGTGTTTACTTTGAAGATATGGCGCCACTACTTGTATGGTATTCACGTTGATATACATACTGATCACAAGAGTTTGCAATACATCTTTAAGCAAAAGGATCTGAATTTGAGGCAACGAAGGTGGCTTGAGTTATTAAACGATTATGACATTGATATCTTGTATCATCCCGGGAAGGCAAATGTTGTAGCTGATGCTTTAAGTCGTAAAATGATGGCAAGCACTTATGAGCAATCCATAGGAAGGCAGCAAATAACTAAAGATCTACGTCAATTAGCTAGCTTGGGGTTCGCCTTCTTGAATCTCCAGATGAAGGAGTTATTGTGCAAAATGCTGCAGAATCCTCATTTGTAGCCGAGGTGAAAGAGAAGCAGTACACGGATCTTATCCTATTACAGCTTAAGGAGAATGTATAACAAGGTATGACAAAGGCATTTGAGCATACAAAAGAGGGAGTACTTCAATGCCAAAACAGATTGTGTGTACCTAATATAGATGGACTAAGAAGGATAATTATGACGGAAGCACATCATTCAAGATATTCTGTCCATCCGGGATCAACAAAAATGTATCATGACTTGAAAGAAGTATATTGGTGGGGTAACATGAAGAAGAGCATTGCAGAATTTGTAGCTCAATGTCCAAATTGTCAACAAGTTAAAGTAGAGCACCCGAAGCCTAGAGGTTATATGCAGCTTATAGAACTTCCAATTTGGAAGTGGGATATGATTAATATGGATTTTGTCACTGGTTTGCCTCGCTTATTTCGGAAGTTTGATTCCATATAGGTGATTGTTGATAAACTCACCAAAGCAGCGCACTTCTTACCGGTCAAGACTACTTATACAGTTGAAGAGTATGCAAAGTTGTATATTAAATAGATAGTTCGGCTACATGGGGTGCCAATCTCTATTATATCTGATAGAGGAGCTCAATTCACTGCGAACTTTTGGAAGTCATTTCAGAAGAGTTTGGGAACGCAAGTGAATTTAAGCACAACCTTTCACCCTCAAACAGATGGTCAGGCAGAACGTACAATCCAAACACTTGAGGATATGTTGCGAGCTTGTATATTAGACTTCAAAGGTAGTTGGGATGATCATTTGCCGCTTATTGAGTTTGCTTACAACAACAACTACCATTCAAGTATCAGAATGGCACCTTATGAAGCGTTATATGGGAGAAAGTGCAGGTCACCGATCGGATGGTTTGAAGCAGGCGAAACTGCCTTATTTGGGCCAGATCTTATTCATCAAGCTATGGAAAAAGTTAAGGTGATACAACAACGATTAGCAACAGCTCAAAGACGACATAAATCATATGCAGATAATAGAAGGAGAGGACTGGAATTTTTCATAGAAGATTGGGTATTTTTGAAGGTATCCCCAATGAAAGGGGTAATGAGATTTGGTAAAAAGGGGAAGCTAAGTCCGCGCTATATAGGGCCGTATAAAATTATTCGAAGAGTTGGTCAAGTCGCGTATGAGTTAGAGCTACCTCAAGAGCTCTCAATAGTCCATCCAGTATTTCATGTCTCAATGCTTCGAAAATGCATAGGCGACCCATCTCGTATCACTCCGACGGAAGATGTACACGTTATAGAAGATCTCACTTACGAAGAAGTACCCATCGCAATTTTGGATCGACAAGTTAAGAAACTAAGAAATAAAGAAGTAGCTTCTGTAAAAGTACTATGGAGAAACCAACAAGTTGAAGAAGTTACATGGGAGGCGGAAAAAGCAATGAAGTCCAAATATCCTCATTTATTTCAATCCGAGGAGAAGGGTCAAAGTGCTGAGTTGAGACAGTAACAAGTAAGTATAAGTCTGTGCGTATTATGTGGCTAACAGTAGAATCCAACATAGGCTTGATTGAACTTGATTGGCGCTGAATAATTAGGCAAACATTCGAGGACGAATGGTCCTAAGGAGGGGAAGATGTAGCGTCCCATATTTTGCATATACTAGTTCTATGTGAGTAGTGAGGGTTTGAAATAGGTTTGACAATATTCGAAAGAGGTTTGAGGCTAAATAGAGTAAGTAAATTATAATTTGTCATAGTAATCAACCTACTTGCTTAAGCTACTGATTCGGATGTCTTATGTAATTAAGTTACTTACGTACATATGTAGCTTACATAGAAAGGATGACATAGGTTCTTAATGGTAGATTAACTGCTGACCTACTTAAATAAGTGGTAAGTAGGTGATGCACCTACTTAGGAAATATGTGGATTGCATTTAAAAGAAAAGGGCAACTAGGTGATGCAGCTACTTAAAGAACTTGTGGCAGAAATTAAGGGAGTGATGTACCTGCTTACTTAAAGTGAGGGACTAGATATTTCTACATATTTCTTAATGTAAAAACATCCATATACGACCCTTAAGAGAATGAAATTCATTTCATATATCTCTTACTTGTTCTACAACAATTTACTCCCAAAAAGAAACCCTAGAAGCTCCAAAGTGCTGGCCTGCAAGTTCACCATTAAAAATAGGAGAAAACCCTTTATTTTTCAAGTACAAGTTGGTGTAACATCTCCCATCTTAAGAAATTCAAGAGGAGGAACTGATTTCACCTTAAGATAATTTGGAAAAGACAACCGAAACCTTGAAGTTAGCAAGTGAGGTTGCTGTCCAACAAGGTGAGTTACTGAAATTTTCATCCCTCTTTTGTGCTTGAATCGGTTAGGGGATTTGGTATGTGTTAATGAGCTGAGAATTGTTCCTTTTACATGGTGTGAGATTGGAGAATGTTCTGGTTGATTATGCATGTTGGGACAACCATGGAGGGGAGTCCTCTATAACTCAATTGTTAGTCCATTTGAGCATTTTAAATGTAATGTTAGTTGGATGCTCAAGGGACAGTGGTCAGAAACCGTGAGTTCATATTGCTACTGCCACATTCTGATGTTTAGAAACTGATTTGTGTATAGTAACATAATGAGGCATGTGTAGAAGTCATGAGAACTTGTTAAAGGATAAAATGGTAAAGGGTGCAGTAACGTACCATCTAATTGGGCGTTGCATGAGCTTGCTGCCTGCAAACCCTTTGTATACTGTTTTGCATATGTTATAAAGCCCGAGGAGTTTTAGGGGACCTTATTAGAAGGTCGTATTGTATATGACGTTATTAAAGGAGAAGGGGTGGAATGCATACCATCGGTTTGATAAGTATGGGTTTGCTGCCTGATTACTGTTTGCCAAGTTAAATAGCCCAATCGGAAAGGAAGGAAGTTAATTTGTTGTACTATCTGAGTGGTACAACAAGGTATGTAAGACTATTCAATTCTATATTATTTGGCATGAACTCTGCTTGTGTCACTACCAACAAGTGAGCTTCCGAAGTGCTCTTTCAAGTAAAAGACACATAGTGGCAGCGTACAATCCCAAACACAGCTAACAATATTTACCCTCTCCTTAGTGTGTCGAATTGCTTCAATATATGTGCATCTTTACTTTTCCTAAGTATTGGTATGAGAAAAGGGTAATTTCAGCAGTAGCTTTGTGATTCCTCTTGTCAATCAAATAAAGTCCATTGTGTCATTTGAGCTCTAATGTAATTCATTAGTGTTACATTTTCATCTTATGTTATTGTTACTGCCCTAAGTGCATATTCACATGTTTCCTACTACTGAACCACAGTTCTGATGCTCAAATATAATTATGACCACCAAAATAACAATCTCAAAGATTAAAGAAGCTATATGAAGCAGTATATGTGTAAGGGTGGCAGCCCAGGGGCAAAAGCCTAGCATGGGTCGATCCCAAATTTATAAATTTGAGGACAGTATCTCCGGGGTTAAAATGCCTAGCATGGGTCATCCTCTTTTACCACTGATCAGTTGGTTATTTGTATCACATGCTTTACAGAGATCGCAATGTAAAGAAAATTACAAAACAACATATAATGTACATGATCCCACAACAACAACAACAAGGGTGGTCTTTAATCTGATCTATGCATTTAAATATTGATACTTGATTTCAATTGAGCTCTTGTTTACATATGTTATTGCCTTACATATTCAGTACATTCTTCGTATTGATGTCCCTCTCGGGGGACGCTGCATTTCATGCTGCAGCCACAGGTACTCCAGCTAGTAGACCTCCCCAGTAGGAGCATAGGACACTAAGCTGCTATTGGTGAGCTCCAAGTTGATTCGGGGCTTAATCGAGTCTTTGGCATCTACTTTGTTACCGTATAGTAGTTAAGGGTAAGGCGGGACCTTGTCCCGACCTAAACTAAGGTTGTCCATCTTGTAGAGGCTTTGTAGACTAATGTATAAAGTTTGGTTGTGTCTTGTCTCTTAACAATTGTGGCCTCCACGGCCAAGTGTTGTACATAAGTTTTGGGGCTGTCTATGTCGGTCTTTTATCAATACAGGGCATATAAGCTTGTCATAGCTTCATACTTATCATAGTTAAATGTATGGTAAGTGCAGGTTGTATGTTGGTTTTCCCGAGCCATTTAGACATCGGGTGCTTGTCCGTCTTAATCAGATCTGAGGCGTGACAGATTATTTCAAATTGTTGAACCCCTAAAGGCAATAAAAAAAATTACACTCTTTGTAGAAAAATTATAATGTAGATAGGTAATATATATGTATTATATGTTAAATTTTTTATATTTTTTCATGTGCTTACTTATTTATATTCTAATTTTAAATCACGTTATTATGCTTCTGATTATCTTTTTAAAAAACATAATAATTTGTAATCGAATATGTACATATGTCATGCTTTTTTATCTTTAATTTGATGGCACACAATATATCTGATAATAAGACATACTAATTATTATTGTGTTTTTTTGTATTTCTAAGTCTAAATTAACATACATTCGTGCATTTCATGCGTCATTTTTACTGAATGATAAAGATTATTCCCGGATCAACAAAAAATGTCATGCTTTTGTATCTCTAATTTGTTAGCACACGATGTATTTGATAATAAAATATATTACTACTATATTTTTTTTCGTTTGTTAGACTAAAGTACTCATGCATTTCTTGTGTTTTCTTACTGAATAATAATGATAATTCACGAAACAACAACTATGTTATGCATTGTATCTCTGCTTTGTTAGCACATGTTATATCTGATAATAAAACATATTACTTGCTATCATTATGTTTTTTTTTCTTAGATTAAAGTACACATGCATTTCTTGCGGGTTTTTTTTCACTGAATAATAATGATGATTCTTGGAAAAATAAAAATATCATGCTTTTGTATCTCTAAATCATCAGCACATATTATATTTGATAATAAAACATACTACTTGCTTTCATTATATTTTTTTTGTTACTTACTCAAAAGTATTCATGTATTTTATTTTTTATTTTTTGCTAAATAATAAAGTTTATTTTTAGAACAGCAATAAATTTCAGATACTTCTTGGAGTTTCTAGAAAGTTTGAGTAAAATATTTTTTGATACTTTTTTATTAAATAAATATTTATATAATATCAAAACTTAACGGTTAAGGTGAGTATTTAAAGAATATAATGAATTTTCTAGATTTTTTTTGTATCTAGAACCATCTATTTACTAGTATAAATATGTGTCACCCTAATCAGCTGTAACCAAGCTAGCTCAAAAAACAAAGTTCTCCTGCCCAAAACCCTAATTCTCCATCATGAATACTTCCCTTCTCACAACCCAAAATATGAAATATTTGAAGAATGAAAAGCCTCATGTTCTTATAGCTCTATTCCCAGGCCAAGGCCAAATTAATCCATGTCTTCAATTTTCAAAACAATTAATCAATCTAGGCATTGAAGTCACTTTAACCACAAGCCTATCAGCTTTTAGTAAAATAAAAAAACTCCCAAACATTGAAGGATTAAACTTTGCTCCTTCCTCTGATGGCTATGATGGAAAATTCCAGTTAAGCTCAGTTGATGACTTTCATTTGTTCTATACTTCTGTAAAGTCTCGCGGGTCAAAATTCATTTTCAATTTGATCCAATCAAATGAAAAAAATGGTACCCCTTTTTCACATGTCATATATACAATTATCATGGAATGGGTTGGCTTAATGGCCAAAAAAATAAATGTACCATCTACATTATTTTGGATCCAACCTGCCACAGTTTTTGATGTATACTATTATAGATTCACAAACTATTCTGATTATTTCAAAAACTGTAATGCTAAGGATAAAATAATAGAGTTACCAGGATTGCCACCACTTAGTCCAATTGATTTCCCATCTTTTGTGTTTGATGACGTTGAAAGTACCAACTGGGCAGTTAAGTCTATTAAAAGGCAAATTGAAATGCTGAATAGTGAAGAAAATCCAAGAGTTCTTGTGAACACTTTTGATGGGTTAGAGTATGATGCTTTGAGCATTTTAAAGCATGTGCTATGGTGGGAATTGGGCCTTCAATTCCTTCAATATTTCTTGATGATGATACTTTTCGAGCTGATATGATTGAGATTAGTTCGAAGAATTATATGGATTGGTTGAACTCAAAGGATAAGGGATCGGTTATCTACATAGCATTTGGTAGTTACTCCGAAATATCAAGTCAATTGATGGAGGAGATTGGTCACGGATTGCTGAAATGTGGGAGGCCCTTTTTGTGGGCGATTAGGGAAGGACAAGACGGAGATAAAATGGCAGCCAAGTTTAGTTGCAAAGACGAACTTGAAAAACAAGGGAAGGTAGTGAGTTGGTGCTCGCAAGTGAGAGTTCTTAAACACCCTTCTGTTGGTTGTTTTCTGACTCACTGTGGATGGAATTCAACTTTGGAGAGCATAGCATCTGAGGTACCTATCGTGGCATGTCCACTCTGGAACGATCAAG